ATTCTGGTCCATCAATATCACCTGGATAGCTCTTTGCTAAGTCACAACATCTTTCTTGCAATTTTCCGTCTGCGAAATCTCCAGAAACAACATTTATCACATCTAGTAGAAATCCAAACTGTGAATCTAGTAAGCGAGAAAATCTTCCTGTTCTTTTTGTAATCAAGCAATCAATAACATCCTTCATGATTCGATAAATTTCCTGTTTAGCAATCAATCCAGCATCAGCTGCATTTTCACCTGGTATTTGTTTACGACGTATTTTTCTTCTTTCAATGGTCAATCTCCATGTTTCACATTGATTCTAACCCACTTTAAGTGCTTCTTGACAGGACTTTTCACGTGATTCTATCAATTTCTCTTTCAAAGAATCAAGATCACCAGCTGCTTCTCTAAAATTCATTTTTGGGTCCTGAAGACGTTTCTACACTCGATTGATAGATGATAAAAGATTTATCCAAATATGCAAAAGTACAAGAAAATCAACTGTAAGCATGCTTGCAGAATATTATGAGCACCACATTTTGTTTCAGCCGTGTTGCCATTGTCACTTAATTGCTCTAACAGTCCTAACAATTCATCCAGTTTTTCATGTACAACTTTTACTGCCTTTTCTCTTGCACTCCACCGTCTTTCTGATTCACGCTTGAATGAGCAAATAAAATATAAATGGCTTCAATTATACCAAAAAAGGTAATAACTGTTGTTCCCTGACTTGCAGCATGAAGACATGCTAAGTTCAAACTATGGTTGTCACAGTTTATAAACACTGCTTTTGGATTTTTGATCAGAATTCTTTGTTGAACGCCTGACAGATGAACTGACATGACAGCAGCATTATCATAACATTGTGAACAACAATTAATCAATAAAATACCATCCGTTTCTAATTTTGTGCTTATTATTTTCTCAATATTGGCAGCGTCTTTTTCCTTTTTCTGCATAAAGTCAATAAATGACTCTTTGACTTCTACTTTCTTGTCTTGAAGTCAATGTCAACAAACCAAATCACTTGGGCCAATTACTCACGATAGGCTA